TCATTTTTCAGGACTATATACTTGACTTTTTACCCCAGTGGACTAAACAAAATTGCTTGCGTTAACTTCCTACTTGCCTTTCCACAGTTGCTCATTCTACCTGCTTCTTTGAAGAAGAAACAATCTCTCCTTGAAATGCTTTTCTCAGTGGCTCCTGGGACACTGTCCTCTGCCTTCCCTCTGTCTTGATGGTTTCCTCTTCTGAACACGACTCGGCCCCAGGAGTGCTGTTCCTCCTAGGGCCCCGCTCTTTGCCTTCTTCCAGTTGCACTTCCTCTTGTCTGCAGTCCAGATCTCGCCCATGAAATTCAGACCCCAAGTTAATTTTCCTGAACTTCAAACAAAACATGCCCAACCAAACTCATTAACTTCCTCATTCTATTCCTGTGATGTTTACCCTGGGCTGCTTCTTTCAGTTAACCATCACCAAGTCAGGAAGCAGAAATCAACCCCAGTCCCCCAGTCAGTGTTGACATCTAGCCCTGGGCACCCTGAAGCTCCTTTCTTGTGCCTCTTCCTCTCCAACACCACAGCCTTAGCTCACGCCCTTGTCCTTTTCTCTCTAACCTCTGCAGGAAGTTCCTCACTGGTGTCCCTGATTCCAGAATTTCCCCACACTCATCCACTGTTCAGCTCTCATCTGAATCATCTTTCTGAAGCACATTCCTAGTCCATCTTCATGTGCCTAAAGCCTTTGATGGTTTTCCATTCCCCTACAACAGTGTTTTTGCTTTGAGTTTTGTTCCACCCTTTTTGCCCCAGACCCTTTGAAAACTGTGTGCTCTCATCTGAGAGAAATGCTCACAGGCTCATAAATCAACCCTGTATACCAGCTCAGGGATCTGCTCCCCCTGAAGCCCAACTCACAGACACCGAGGGATGCCTTTACACAGTGCTTTGCACAGGGCATTGCACTTCCCTGAGCAGTGTGGCCTCCTGCACACCCCACTTACACGCCCCCCTCCAGCTGCAGCATGCTCTGTGGCAGCAACACACATAGCCCCCTCAGGTGCTGATGGCCTTCACAGCTACCCACTGAGCTATCTTGAAGACCACCTCCAGAGTCCTTCTCTTACTGCTGTCTTCCCTGAGCCTCATCTATTACCTTCCTAGTGGCAGCTGCCCTTCTCAGTGTGTTGCCTGTTTCTAGCCAGCACCCTGAGGATCCTACCCAGCTTTGTTTCTCCTCTGCCTGCCCCTGTGAATACCCAGAACGGCTGGGCAGCTGCTGTTCAGCCATCGTTTCTTTACTCTAAAATGGCTCACATCTGTCTTTTTACAATAAGCATACGCATGATGGCTTGTCATATGAAGCAGTAGTTGAATTTTCTGAAGTTTGCCCATTTTCCCCCTCTTTGATGATTTGCATTTGAATTATTTAAATTCACCTTAAAAAGCCCTTGTACCTTTTGTTATATACAGAAGCTAAGCAACTACAGGAACTATCAGGTTAAACCATAAAGGCAACTATTGCACAAACAGCAGGAACAGCATATATAAATGTCACTGCAAATGTAATTTGTTTGAATAAGAATTAGAAGATAGGAAAACATAAGGTAAGTCTATATATTTTAATGCAGAGCATACAGCTAACACCATCTATTTCTACCTTACCCAGACAAATCAAACTCAAACTTCCTTGCAAAGCACTTAATGTTTTTTGCTCTAAATAGGATGAAATTTCTATTTTACTTGGTTGGAACAGTCTTACATACAGTCAATAAAGCTGAAAGTGGATTTTCCCTCTAGAGAATCTGCAAATGATAATAGTTAATGAAGTATTCACTCATACTCTTCATATAAGTAATACGCATTAAAATAGATTTCACAGTGTAACTAATACTAAATATCAAACGGCTGAAATCCATGAAAAGCTTTTATTCTTAATTTCAATTTGAAAAACTCAAACTGAATGGAAAACCAGTGCTGGTAGTCCCAATGCTACACAGAAAAATCATGAAGGATTGACAGCTAGATCCTCAAGCACTTTAAGTTAACTTCCCTTTTGGTAATTATATGTAAATTAAATATCACTCATACTTGAATGGTTTTCATCCAACTGGATCTCATTCTTTACATAAATTCCCTCTCCTATTTGAGAAGGTATTACATTCAGTTATTGTGTGTGATACAACATTTTACATTAGGTCTTTTGTTATGTTTTCTATTATCAATGGGAAATATCCTGTTAATTAAGGAAAATACTAAGGATGCTCAGTTAACTGTAAAACAACTCCACACATTTCTCCTTGGTTTCCAATTCCTTTCATCGTAAAATCTAGGTCCATCATTCAAAGAAGAAGGAAAAGGGATTATTAAATGAATGTCACCCAAGCTTCAGGTACTGTGCTTCACTTTATCCAAACACTCTAAAGATGGCATTATAATCTCAGACTTTACAGATAGGTAAAAACAGAGGCTCCCCTTTGCACAGGTCACATGACCATTGAAGGGGCTCTCTCTGCTAGGTGGCTTATGCAAAAAATTTTTGGCAGAATCCTCACTATGCTGGTTGTACCCATGGTCCCTTTTCTCAAGTGTTACCTATGTATCGACTTATTTTCTACCAAATAACCCAGTCCCCTGGCCACTACTACCTGGACATGAGATTGATTGGTGTTGGACCCAAAGCTAGTAGCCTGAAAGAAAGCCTGCCTTGAAAAAGTGGCTGCCAAACCAGTGTGATCTTCCTTGTGAAAGAATGCAAGACGTTAAGGACGGCAGAAGAAAGCAGTTACAGCACCAAGTGGGCAGAAAGGCAGCCACAGCAGCCATGAAGCAATCCCTGGAGCTCCAGGGCAGAGGTACTTACAGTAAGCTGCAGGACTGGAAGAGTGGAATGCTAGCACCAGGGGGCTGGCAGGCAGACACTTTACAGCTGTTTAATTAGTACTCATAAAGCACTAATTAAGAAAATGGTAACTAAACCAAAGACAGAAAGATTTCCTAAAACCATAAATCCCTGAATATGCATATTATGAAGAAGAAATTACTGTAATCAATATTTCAACAGAACATTACCCAGTGGTTTCAGTACTGCAGACAGAAACACTCATTTTTTTTAGGAAAACAAGGCTGTAATAACAAAGTTATGAAAAACATATGGCCACAAAAATCTCTTGTCAGCAGAGACAGCAAGGTCAGAATCACTCAAGAATTTGTTCTTTTCAACAAGTGCCTAGGCCTCAGGTTAGATCAACAAAATCAGGAATTTACAGGTTGGGCCCACGAATAGTAAAAGCTCCCCAGGCAATTCTATCAGGTAGCCAGAAATGAGAGTCACTACCTTAGATGAGGTGGTGGCAGGGCAGTCAAAGTGTGGCTCAGAGATCATCAGCATTAAATATGTTAGAATGAAAATTCTCAGCACCACCTTGGACCTACTGAAACTGAAATTCAATCTGGCACTTTTACAAGATCATTAAGGTGATTCTGAGATAACCTCCAGTTGGAAAATCATGGTCTTAGATGACATAGAAAGGTAAATCTTTTTTTTTTTTTAAATCTTTTTTTTTTAGGCTGGCCTTGAACTTATGATCCTCCTGCTTTGGCCTCCTATGGCACTGGGATTGCAGGAGTGTGCCACCACATCCAATCACTTTCCTCTTAATTTTGAAAAAATATAATTTTAAAGTATACAATATCTGGGTCACTACCACATATTATATGCAGAAGTTAACAACAAAATATTAAAATTATTAGGAGGGGATAAAGGTATTTGTATAGCCTTGGAATAAGAAAAAGCCAAAAACATTGCAGTGACTGACACACTTGAAAATCATAATTTTAAACATTTGTAAAATAAAAGGCTCCATTAACAAAAAGAAAAGACAAGTCCAGGTCTGAAAAAAAAAAAAAAAAAAGATACTTCAACACACAGAGAAGACAACAGATCACGGCAGGAATATAAAGAATCCTCCAAATCAATACAAATACCTAATAACCAACAAGGAACCAATAAAGCCCAAGCAAGTCACATGGGAGAAAAATTAAAAAACAAATATAAAAATTTACTTAAGCCTACTAGTAATAATGAAAGTAAAAACTAAGACATTTGTTAATCTATCAGGTTAGCAAAAATTAAAAAGTCCATCAATATCAAATTGGTACATTTATGGAAATATGGTATAGCTGCTTAGAATAATTTGAAAAAATATGGAAAAATCGAGCCAGCAGAGCCAGTAATTCCACCTCAAGCACGAATGCATATATATATATATGCACAGGAAAATCGGAACCACGCACAGATCTATATTTTATTCATTATTATTATACTATTTTGTAATACCAAAAACATGAAAACAACCTAAATGTGTATTAGCTGGTAAACAGATAAATTAAATATGGTACATTTATACAAAAACATACTCTTCAACAGTTAAGCAATTAAGAGAAATACATTAGATCTATATGTAACAACATGGATAGTTCTCAAAAAAAGTAACTAAAAAAAGCAAGTCAGAGTCAAATATAATTTATAAGACCATTTTTATAAATTATTAAAACTTTAGAAACTGAATATTTTTCATGTATCTAGCATCTACCTAAGTTTTAAAAATTTTTGAAGAGCCTACAGGAATACACACAAAAGAAGTGAGGTGCCTTCTGAGGGAGAAGATGGAAAAACAGCATCAGAATGGTGATCCAAAAAGACTTTAGCTTAATCTGTAATGTTCTAATATATCCAATAGGAAACTGAGACTGCACATTACTCTCACAAAAGCTTTTAGAAGTAAGCAAGCCAAATTATAGTTTTTAAATATGGATGGTAGGAATATGGGTATTCGTCATTTTCTCTTTTGTTATTTTTCTTCCATTTTTCAATCACTACCATCCAAAAAGTTGCTCTCCCTTGCAAAAAAAACAAAAACAAAAACAAAATTACATGCTGCATAATATGAACATTATCACCCACAGTTGTAATGTGCTCAAATCATGTGGCTTTTTTCTTTTTGTAATAACACAAGTAAACAGATAAGTCAAAATTAGCTCACACTTACGCATGTAAGGCAGTTTTTCTGGGCACGGAAGAAATGGTGAATATGTGAAGTTTTCCGGGAGATACGTTGTTGTTTGAACAAGATAGTCACTTGAATTATTGCCTTCAGGATAATCTTGGAGAGAGAGAAGAAAGTTATAACCAAAAAAAATTGCCTTCTGCTTTGCTTCTAGTATAAAATGTCACTGTCAATGGGATGACTACAATAGGTAATCCACAGAAGTACTTTAAAGCAATTATCTAGAAAGAACTAGAGAAAAGCAAATTGCTGATGGAACAGACACTCAGCAAGATTTCCCAAGAGACGCCTAGAAAGCAGCTCGGCCCCATCCTTTCACACCAACAGCAGTACCATTTGCAACCCATTGGCTGGACCAGATCTAAAGGGAGTACAGAGATGCACCAGGGAATTCTGTCCACTATCTCACAGCCACACTCAACACAGCACACTGCTACTAGCATCCAAAGAACAGAGGGGTGGGACTAATGTTTTCTTAACACCTCACAGTAAGAAAGAAAGATTCACCCACTCAACTTACTTCTCTAACACAGCCTACTCTACACCTTTAAGTCATTCTCAGCCTTCCCACATCAGCTCCTAGGGAGCCCTGAGGCTATTATTACAGTTTGGTCCATTCTCCCCAGAGTCAGCAAGTTATGCTGCACATAGGGCAGTGGTTCCGAGCACCAAGTTCAAATCCTTGTGTTCAAACTCTTGCTCTAACATGTACTAGCTTTCAGGGTAGGACACTATTCAGTTTCTCATCTCTGCCTGCCTGCTATTGTCATTTTCAGATTTCTGATAAACTGCAGTACATAAAGAGCTCAGAATACTTCTGGGCCTATAAAAATACCCAATAGTCACTGCTATGAGTGACTGGTTTAGACATGAGCACCTGACCCAGCGTGAGACAATCAGAACCTTAGGATTCTTAAATGTGGATCACGTTTCAATCCCTCTTTGGAACAAAATTCTGAAATGCAAATCTAAGAACCACAACTTGTCCGTTTCCTGCTATGAAGATTAAGAGAATACAGTGCATACGAGATAAAAGATGGAAGCCATTGACTAAACTACTGTCTGTTAGGGCTGGGGTTGTGGCTCAGTGGTAGAGTGCTCCCCTAGCATGTGAGAGGCACTGGGTTCGATGCTCAGCACCACATAAAAAATAAATAAAATAAAGGTATTGTGTCTAACTACAACTAAAAAAAAAAAAAAAAAAACTGTCTCCTGGATCCAACCAGATACCACAGAAAATGAAGCTCTAACAAACACTTTAGGAAAATGGGAAGATATTCTTTCAATCTTCAATGATCAGCTCCAATGAAAGAGGTAAAAGCCAGACCCTCGGACCCATGGGAAAATGGCAGAAGTATGCTTATGAGGTATGTGAATAGAGTCAGAGCAAACTAAATGTGTCCCCTGTATAAATATTCATTCATTATCAAAACTGAGTTGATGAGGCTACAGCTGAGAGCCAGAATAACATTTCAGGACAGAAATACACCCCATCTCCAGGTCCATCTATGAAACAGGGCCCTGCCAAGGTTGCCACATGGAGGTTGATGGACAAAGGCTCCAGACCTCTCTACTAAGGAAGAGACAGAAGCCAGAGGAGAAGGTCCAATTTCAAAAGCTGCATGGAAAGCTCCGTTATTAACTTGACAGGTCATCAATAAGGCATTAACTGTATTGCCAGAAAAAGCAAACACGATAGAGAACGATGCTGGTACAGTTGCTAAGGACAATTCCACCAGGGAGTAGGAAAACCCCAGTAAGAGAATTCCCCCAGCCCTCTCCAGAAGTCCTGGAAAGCATCTGACAAGGAAGATCCTGCAGGTTCTAGGGGCAGGAGAGATTCAATGGGCATGGTTTTGTGTGCCCAGGGACAAAGCGGGGTCATAGAAACTCCTCCTGGGGCCCACATTATGCATCCCACCAACATTTATCTATAAGACTTAGAGATACTGGACAAACATAAAACAAGTGTAAGGCAGTCTTACAAGGTTCTGATTCTTTCCTTAAGGTGCTTTTAAAAAATGTAGGTATATCAATTTCAAGTCCTATTTTTTTTATTTATATCTTACATACATGACAATAGTGGAGTGCATTACCTTCAAATTATCCATACACAGCACAGTTTTTCGTATTTTAAAAATGGTTTCACCTCTACGAGGACTCTTATTTTTCTAGTGGTAAGCATAAGTTAGATTTCTGTCACCTCAACAAAAAATAGCTAAGATTATTACTGTTGAGTTTTGCAGTACCTTTTGGTCAAACTCCTTGATTCATACCTAAGAGTTATTTATATCTCCAATCAACAAATAGATTTTACTGCTTGTAACTTAAACTTTATTTTGCATTCCTATTTCAGGTACACAGGAAGAAAAAAATCACATACAAATAGCATTCTTAAAAATTACAAGTTTGTCAAAATTTGAAAAATTAAATCAAAGGATTATAATAAAGTCAAAGTAATCCCCCAAAATCTAGAAAGAAAAAAAAAAAAAAACCAAAAAATAAAAGATGATAAACTTAGATGATTCTTTCAGAAGCCACAAATCCAAATAGTTCCAAAAAGAAGGCGGGGTGGGGAACAGGAAGGCAAATAATCAAAGAAATAATAGAGGAATATTCTGTAGAATCAAAGGACGAGAGGTTCCATACTGATAGGCCCATCGTACCCAGAGAGAGAAGAAAAACAAAGCTCCAAGATGTTCCTTGTAAAATTTCATGATCAGGAAAAAAAAAAAAAATCCTACAAGTCTGCAGAAAGAAAAAAACTCATCTACATCTAGTAACTGTGATCAGAGAAAACAATGACATGGGAATATGAAATCCTCTTAAGTGTGGTCAATTCATGTTCCTAAACTGCTCAGGAAAAAAAAAAAAAAAAACCAGTAAGAGATGCATAGATAGCAAATGGGGGTGGAGGCGGGGGGACAAGTATCATTAGTAAAAATAAAAAGATCCACAAAAGCATGTCTACTACTTCACTTAAGAAAACAAACTACCTTTAATTACATACATATGTCTTACTTCCATAACAGAAACAGTCACAATTGATAATAAAGAAACAGCAAAATAAGGGTGGGAGTGTAGCCCAATGTAGAGGGTATGCATGTTTAACATGCTCAGAGCAGGGGGTTCAATCTAGGAGGGAGGGAGGAACAGCAGAACAGAAGGAAGATATGCACAGAGTAAGTTGTTAAAAATCAAAAGTCGCTCTCTTGGAGGATTAGGACTCAGGAAGAGTGTGACAGGAGACTGCTGTTTCTGTTTGATCCTGACTGGGTAATCTATAATCCCAGCAATTTGGTAGGCCGAAGCAGGAGCATCCCAAGTTCAAGGCCAGCCTCAGCCAGTTAGTGAATCCCTGTCTCAAAATTAAAAATTAAAAAGGGCTGGGGATGTAGCTCAATGACAAACAGTACCAAAAAATAAAATATATGTGTGTGTACTACTTAAAATTTAAGTGATTTATATAATTTGCTTTTCAATATGAATACATGAATGGTTAAAACAATAACTACAGAACAGAAAGTTCCTCTGCACAAGTTACATAGCTCTCGCACTCACAAGCTCTCTTATACTCAGACACAAAGTTCATTTACAGATTTTATTTTTGTATATGCCACCAGAACAGATGGACTAGCTACATAAATATGATGCTTTTCCTTAATCTTTTCAGTCAATTTTTCTTAAGCACCTAGTATATAATACACATTTATAGCAGCTGGAAATGGAGGTTAAATAATGTTGTCCCTAGGGTCACTGCCTTTTTCTATTTCAAAAACTCATTTTCTTATAATGCTAAGGCAGAAAAGTATTAACATTCTCCTGTATCCTCAAATGATTTATTAATGTTGTATACGAACTTTAAATCAGAATACTTACTCTGCATAATTTACTAATTTTTGTCATTAATACTGGGGCCCCTCTTCTTATCCACATACTATAATTCCATAGGCCTACATCCAACTCAATGAAATTTCAAGCTCTCTAGACATTTCCACAAAACAAACTGTTAAAGTCACTCCCTCTGGGGAGTGTGGTGACAAGAAAACCAGAGAGAATTGTTTCACTTAGTTTATTCTAATGCTAGAATAACTGAATCTTCATAAAAGAATACATTCATAAATAATTTTTTTTTTAAAAAAGACATGCAACATTATCTTCATTTGCTTTCAATACAGTACTAGAGCTAAACATGTTATTTAGCCACATCATTATAAATGATCATAAGGGCTGTAACACTTACAGATATGTCTCCACAATCCTGAGCACTCTGTCCAGTGGTATTTACCTCATTCCAATGTATGATAATATATAACTCTATCCACTACCCGGGTCCTTTGTCTGTATACCTCTTTTAATTGAAATTCAATTGTCTTTGATTTCTACCATCCAATAAAGTTGTAGGGCACAACAGGAACATGCTGCAAATAAACCCTTTATAACTGATAATAAAGCCAATGATGATTTAAGCTCTTGGAGATTATACTGTAATAAACCCATAAAAATCATGATTCCTACACAAGTGGTTAGGTGAGCCATGTCCATCAAATATAACCACTGCTTTCAAAATAGGTGACAGTTTTAAAAGGTTATGCATGCCAGAAGCACTTGAGGTCCACCACAATGCTGTTAAGAGGCAGACATTTCCTCTTTCTTCCCATCCAGAACCACACCCAAAGAAAAAGGAAACAAAATGAAAACCTCTGGACAGGTCCCCTACTCCACTCTCACTGGACCTTATCACTTAACAGAAAAGAAGAACGGGACCAAAGGACACCTCCTAAATGGCTTTATTTCTTCTAAAAAGCCCACCTTAAAAGGGTGGCAGAAACCCCTTGAGTTCTCTTCTGTTCATCACCAACTTACCCTATCAGGCAGGACATGCCCGAGGGTCTCCACGCATATATCCACTAAGAAAGCATACAAGGTTACCTCTAACCAACCCACCAACCATGACACAGCATGACCCCATCACCTACTTCAGTAATTATTCAATGAGTAAATCTTGTTTTCTTAATTTGACTGGCTCTGCAGGCATCATTAAAGTATGACATGATTTCTGCACAAAAATACATACCTATTTACATCTGATGCCACATAAAGTCACGTAGGGTGTTTAAAACTTCTTTTTGAAATCGAATGTACTCATAAATGTAACAAGCTATGTACCCTTTATTATTAAAATTTAAATGAGCCACCATGTATTATTAGTCAATTCTCCTCTAGGGCTCAATTAAGCCCTTTGTACACCTTATCGGCCATTATCTCCTTTTTGCAAAATTTTATATGTATTTGTCTGTGCAGAAATAATAACTGCATTGTAAATAACTATATTTTCATATCTCCAAGCCTAGAGAAAGCTGTGTGTAAAGGGAGAATGTTTTTCCTAATCTGTGTCTTCCACATCGAGTTGAGTATACAAACTATACTAACTGTTCGATAAATGCTAGCCAATGAACCTGGCAGGGCCTCAGGACTGACTACTTTAACTCCTCTCTCCTTAGGTAAAACCCTGATTTCATTCTAGCACCAGTGTTCCCAGCTCCATGACTTCATTTCCCAGTGTACTTATATGTGCCCATGCGATTAAGTTCTGGCCGGAGAAATGTATGAAGAAATACTGTGTGGGACTTCTGGGAAGGCTCCTTAAAAGGGGGTACCCAATTTGTTCTTCTTCCTTTCATTCCTCCTTCCTATTGAGTCAAGTACAAATACAAAGAAGGGAGCCCCAGCAGCCACCGCAGGCTGGGAGTTCACTGCGATGCTATGTGGCAGAGCAGAAGACGAAAAGCATGTGATGACTTATGAAGAAATCTCCATAACAGCCACAGATGACCAACTTCCAGACTTCTACATGAGAACAAAAAGGCTTTGTAGCTAAGCCATCACCTCCAGGCATCTGTTAGAACCAAATCCATTCCTGTCTCCTAAGGACAGTTTTCCCATTAGTAAAAAAAAACCATATGAAAGGTTTTCAAAGGTTCATAAAACTAAGCAAACGTCAATCAAAGTATGCACTGGTTGTTTTGTCATTATTGAAACTGTAAGTGAGAGGAAGAATGGATTTCTTTTTTTTTTTTCTTTCTCGAGTACTGCTAAAGGAAAATTTGCCTTGCTCAGGTAATTATTTCTCCTAATTGAACTCAACGTCCACACATAACTTATTCATATCTCAGGAAAAAACTATAATATACACACTTTTAATATTCATACAAATACAGTAACCTTAACTTAATATTTCTTTTCAGTTTAACAGACTTGTAGCAAACACTTTCACACTAGGTGCAGTGGCACATGCCTATAATCCCAGTGACTCAGGAAGCCGAGGCCCTAAACAACTTAATCAAACCCTATCTCAAAATAAAAAATAAAAAAAGGGCTGGGGATGTGGCTCAGTGGTTAAGTACCCTTGGGTTCAATTCCTGGTATCAAAATAAAAAACAAACATCTTTTAAATATCTCCTAAAATTGACCTACTATTCAGTAGGCCTACTGCATCAATGCAGAAAACCGTTAATGAGATTTTTACTGTACTGTACTATTAAAATGTCCACATGTTGAGAGTCTTGCTAAAAGAAATGAAGGCTAAAAAATTAAAGGAAAACAAAGAGTGTTTTGATTAGTAGCGTCAAAAACAAATTAGGCAAATGACTAGAATGGATTTTGTAAAAGTATGTGTGATGTTAAATTGCAAACTGGTATGCAATTGGTAGTCTTGCATTTTTTAGCAGGATCTAAAACTACTATATGCCTTAATGTACTTTTAAGAAACAACATTTATGGCTGGGAGGTAGACATTCTATTGAGAGGAGGAAACAGAGACAGTAGAACAGTAATTGTAGGTCTATAGTGACCCGCAACCATTGACACACATTAATTAAATCTTTATTTTCAACCATTTAAAATGTTGTAGAGCATACAACAACTGACAATCAATCCCATGGATCCCTTTAAAGCAGAACCTACAATACTTGTGAGACACTGTGGGAAGACCTCTTCCACAGTAGAAAACCCATTCACACCACATTCATATTCACAGCACCAAATCATTATTAGTTTAGCCTATTAAATCTTAACTTTTTGTGACTCTAATGCAGATTCTACTTCCAGATAACATTTTGAAAAGAGCAACTACTGATTTCCAATTTTATAAAACTTCTCTTCTAGCCCCTGGAAAAGGTCATAAAATTAAGAATATCCTATAATGTAAAACAACTAAGTATGGGGCCAAAGTAGTTGGAAAAACATTTTAGAAATAAGAATAGGTATAAACAGTAGCAAGGCTCATTGAGATGAATAAATTATTCTTTGTGGTTAATTTAAATACAATAGATGAACTGAAAAAGCAGAAGCTGTTCTGTATAGTTTATGTTTGCAGGAGTGAACTTTTAAGTATCTTTACACCAAATCTCATCACCCTTGAAACCACAGCTTTATATATCCTAAAATATGGAACAGACCTCATTTGCACAATAAATTAACCTACCAGTGCACTTAGTAGGAGAAGTCTTCATCTCTAACAGGGAGTCACTGGGAGGCAAAATTAGAGTTTCAAAGATCTGGTCAAATGCTCTATGCCTATAAGGGTAAGAAGCAGAAGCCAAGCAAAGCTGAGAGGAAGTTGTCTTACCTGTGCCATTGAGGGTGGCGTTTTTATTTGTGTACAGCCTGATCATATGTCCTATTGTTTTCACATTTTCTCTCAACATTATACCTCGAGCTTGTACCATAAAGAGGTATGTGTTGGCTACAATAAAAAAAGGAGGGGGGATGTCATTAATATGATAAGCTTATTTAATAATATTCAGAATTAGCCAATAAACAAAGATTGACTCCATTATCATGCCCAAAGGGAAAAAGAAATGTAAAATGACTGTTGTCTACTTTTTAAAGGTACAAAAACAGATTTATTAAAAATGAAAAAATTAAACGGCAATATCCATCTACCAAATAGACTAAATGAACAAACTGAAATACCACAACAAACTCTTTATCAAAATTATTTTCTACTATTAAATGTACAAAGTTATTTCAAAATGTTACCTTGTTTTAAATTCCCAAACCAAGTCATAAAACTTTCTTTTTCTAATTCTACATTAATTCCCTCAAACCAAAAATTCAACAAATATAAGGATTCTTTACTTAATGATGAATATACCACAAATCATAACATTCAGTATACATGAAGATCTTGCAATGGATCCTGTATATTTTTCATGCGTTTGGGAGAGAAGGCTGTTCTAGACTCAATATCTATTTTGGTAATTTCTGTCCAAGAGTTAATTACTTCCCTTTCCATCACAAATATACCTACCACGATCGTGAAAATGATGAGATTAAAAAAAATAATGTACATTTTTTATGATTTGTAACCTTAGTTCTTTGTAAAAAGTGCTTTAAAAACAGGCCCTTAGTTTCCTCCTGGGGAGAAATGGGTAACTATAAACCCAGGGAACAATAAACCCAGATCCTCTGCTGGTCCACATTCTGCTACTTTAGTACCTGCCTGGGACACTCACTGGAGCCCAGTTTCCTCACTTTACAGACGCAGCCCTGCACCAGGTGCCCTCCAAAGCCTCTTCCACTCTCAATTCTGGAGTCACAAAGCCAGGGAGTCAGAACTCCACTCAAGACAAGAGGCAGAAGCTCATCTCTGGGCAAAATCAAGACTTAACAAGGGTCACTTAGCGATTCTTCCAATGTTAAGAGAAGTTGTCACTGAGCACAGTAATGACACTCTTCAGAAAATGAATGCTGAATGAAAAAGCTAAGAAGCTCAACTAACTTTCTGGGCTCTGCTCTACTCTCTCCAGGTGGCAGGGAGATGAGAAAAACATGACATTTACTACCTCTCTTCCCATTTTTATGTAAATGTGAACTTGTCCAACTACAAACAACACAGCAACACCGCGTGAAATAAAATGAGCAGAGAAGCAGAGTGATTTTTTTCTTTCACCTACAACCCATAAAGGATAAGTAGAAACATCCAGGTTTTACATAAGCTTTACCGCAATCATTTTTTAAGAGTACATCTACCCACTTACTAGAAAGCAGTCCTATAATCAGATTTCACTTGTTTAGAGTTGATTTTATTATACTAGGCTATAAATATCACAAAATTTTATGATATTTTTCCACTTGAATGGACATCAAAAAAAAAGAGAAAGAGAAATAAGAAAACTAAAATAACAACCATTCAAAAATGTACAAAAACTTTCGATTAAAAAAAATCAAACTAACATTAATAATTCTACCTAAACCAGGATCTAAAAGTTCAACTGAACGAGGTGGGGAAGGGGATCAAACAGATCATGAACAACAATTGGTTGACAGCACCTGGACTTTTTTTTTTTTTTGTATGTGTGTGGTGCTAGGGATTGAACCCAAGGCCTTGTGCACGTGAGGCATCCCCAACCCTGAATTTTTTTTTTTTTACTCAAAACTGCATATGACATTTGTTACCAGTGATATAAATACCTTATATCTGTCCTACATCAAACCATACAAAGGCCACCACAGAGTAGCAGAACTGAGCCAAGGATGAAAAAACAAACTTCCAGAAACGATACTGGCCTAAGCAAGGAATGCTACTGAGAACATCTGTGCATTACTGTGTGTCTTGTAAACATAATTTTACAACATTATACAGCTGGAGAGGTGCAGGGAGGTCAGGCCACAGCTATGCGGACAACCAGGGCACAGCAGAATGGAGTAAAGGTAGAAGATTCCCTGTTGGTCCAACAGGGGGGGCAGTGGGGGGTACAAAAGCAGAAACACCCTGAATGGAGGACAAACTGCGGACATGTCACGCGGATGCGGGACAATGGAGGGCATAGGATTCTAAAGAGAAGGAAATGAATTTGCATTTACTGAGTACCAACTTTGGTCAGGACTTGAGCTAAAGACTGTAACTAAATATATGTAAATATACACATAATTATATTTCATTTAGTTCTTGTAACTGCCTGTAGCAGGGTGAATGGGAGTCTCCAAAAGGATAGTCCACATCCTAATTCCCAGAACCTGCGAATGTTACCACATTTGGATAAAAGTCCTAGCAGATGTATTCCAGTTAAGGATTTTGAGATGAAGAGATCATTCTGGATTATCTGGGTGAGCCCTAAATCCGAGGCAATTGCTCTTACAAGAGAAAGGGAGAAGAGGATTTTTCACACACAAAGAAAGGCACATGCACATGAAAGCAAAGTTAAGACAGAGTAGAACACTGCGATGTGGCCACACCCATGCAAGCAGACCAGCATGTGACCCTAGAAAAGGCAAGACAGTTCACTCCAAGAGCTGCCTGAGTAAACGTCCTACCAGCCTTCATTTCAGACTTCCAGCCTCCACAACTGTGAGAAAGTAAACTTGGACTGTTTTAAGCCACTCTCCGTGTGGCAAGGAGCTTAGCAGTCCTGGGAAACTGATATACCATCCTTTGATAGATATGATGAAAAGAAAAAACTCAAAAATAAGTTACACAAGTAGAATCAGAAACTCAGGATTTAAGCACAGATCTGAATGGGGGGAGGGGAGGGAGTGAGCTAGAAGAAGCAAAGGTTCAAAGTCACAAAGGACATGGAAAGACAAGGAGAAAGAGAAACCTGTAATGTAAAAAGTCATGAGGGAAGTGAAAATATGAGGAATAAATCAGACTTCAATTAACATGAGCAGGAGAAAGCCAGAAGAGACATTTAAAAGTTATAGGCGAGGGCAGGGGATGTGGCTCAGCGGTAGAGTGCATGTCTAGCATGCATGAGGCACTGGGTTCGATCCTCAGCACCACATAAAAATAAAAAATAAAGTTATTGTGTTCACCTAAAACTAAATAAATATTTTTTTTAAAAAGTTATAGGAGAGAAACAGAGTTGCCAGTTTAACTACTGAACATATAAATAAGTAACATTTAAAAAAGCAAAATACCTTGTGTCTTTACCCCTTACTATTTCCTACAGACATCAACAATCTTCTTCATATGGTTCATATGCTGAAAAGTTATCTTCTTTCTACATTCAGGGGCATGTTCAATAAATCCCCAGACATTACTCATCCATGTTGGTAAAGGAGAAGATATTACCTCTACTGATAGTGGTATAAGCCCCAGGATTAGACCAGACTAAATATGAAATGCTGTTTATACTTTGCCTAGGACTAAGGTATTGCTTAGATTAAAAAAAAAAAAAAAAAAACTTTGACATTGTTCCAGGCTATTAAACAATCAACTCCTTTTATGTCAAAGTACTATTTAAACAGAGACTATCTGACCATTGTCATTCCAATACAAGTCAGGTTTTGACTCAAGATCATCTGTTGTACAATTACCAGCCTATACTGTCCTCCTCTCCACCTTGCAAAGAAGTCATGAGCTGTGTTCAGAGTTCTATTATATCAGGCAGATAATAATGATGATCACAAACAATACAGATCTATTTCAAATCTTAGCCAACAGCTCAAACTTTGCTGCTGTAGACACTAAAAATTAGACAACAGGTCTCTATCCCTTCATTTTGCAGTTGACAGTCTTAAATTGTCTGAAGATTATCTGCGCTTAAATACTGATCATGGTTAAATATTCTCATATAAAAATGGATTGTGCCAATGGCCTTACATTACAGATGCTGAGGCTGGAGAGGTGTTTACCCAATAGATAGTTATTGAATGTCTACTATTTACCAAGAAGAGATAGGAAGTAAGGGGTCCTGTGGATTCCTGCCGAAACAGCCAAGATCCTAAGAGGCACATACTGCCTAAAACATCAGAAGTTCCTTTGCAACAGATCATGAGTTCGGCCTACTCTGTACATAGTTGATAATTCAAAAAGTAGACCCAGAATCCAGTGGTTTGAAAACACTCAAGATACCTATGAGTCCTTCTGTTGATTCACTGTGGTACTCATATAAAATAATGTGCGGCTTCTTTAAAGTTTTATGGGAGCCCAAGAGAGTTAATGAACCACGTTGGGAAAAAAAAAACACAATCAGGAGGAAATGAGGGAATCAGAGAAGGAAACGTGTAGGCAATTAAACAGATTTTAAAGATCTAATCAGGAAACCCAACCACATTACAGACCGAAAAAAACAAACCATAAGTAAACATGCCTAGGAAACATTATAAAATTATTCAAAATCAGTAGTTTCAGAGTATAGAAGATGAATGTGAAACAAATCTCCCTACCCACTTGGGAATTCTATTGATATAAGAAAATAGAAAAAAAATAAAGTGAGAACTATTTCAATTATGTTTTACAACTATCCCCAATCTCCTGGTGTTTTCATGATTATAAAACGCCTTTTAGAATTTCACCCTACTTAGTCACGAAAGAAAAACAAGAAGCAGAGAAGGGGATGCTGGACAGGAAATTAACTTCAAAGATTTCCAAATCCAGAGCCCATTTTTGAGTCAGTAAACAAGGTGCCTTGTAAGACTCTACCTCAGTCTCCAGATTCAAAAGAAAAGTCCAATTTCTCTTCTGTGACTCAAACTTGAAACTGCATTCTAATTAGAAATTGTAATTTTCTTTTTTCTTTTTTTTTTTTTTTGGTTTTTTTTTTTTTTTTTCCTTTCTTGAGACCCAGTCTCACTATGCTGTCCCAGCCTGGAGTGGCCTGGACTGAAGAGATCCTCCTGGTTCAGCCTCCCAAGCAGCTGGGACTATAAGTATGCCCCACCACCAGATTGACTTAATAATTATCAAAAGACCATATATGTAACATGATTTCAGTAAACTCACACTAACATTAGCAAACC